GAAGGGGAGGTCTGAGGCAGAGCCCATCCCTGAAGCCCCAGCCCCTCGAGGGCCCTAGCCCCCCAGCCCTGACCCTCACTCACTCCCGAGCCCACGCCCCGCCCTGGGGGGCGAACCCCAGCCCCGACGCCTCCATTGTGTACCACTTAGCTTCTGCTTTTCCACCCAGTCTTCGTTCTGACAACACCCGAACCCTGAAACGCCCCTCGTGACGCCCCCCTTCACCCTCACTCCATCCCTGAGCCCCCAGGACTGACTCCCACTCCCGCCCATCGCTGCCTCGCCTGGGGCCTTTCTCCGCTGACAAGCCCTGCTGGCCCCCAGGCCTCTGTTGGGTGCTAGCCTGTGGCCCCCCCAATGCCCCCAACTCCTGCCCGGCCTCGCCCAGAGTGCAGGAGCCCTCGGGGAAGGGGGGAAAGGTGGCACGAGCCGTCCCGGGCACTGAGCTCGGGCTCCTCCCTCAGGGCAGCATCCCACCTGTCACCCACGACCTTGGGTCCCCTTTCCTGGCTGTCAGGTGGTATCACTGTTCCCTGTCCCCCATGCCGGAGGCACAGACTGCCCCTGACTCCAGCTCCCTAAAACTCAGGCCGAGCTGTGTACACTGGGGGCGTCCACCCCACTGAGGCCCCCGTCTGCGCCCACTGGGCTCGCCCGTTGTCCGTCTCCGCGGCCCGGGGCGGGGAGCACGTTCCGGGCTGGCCGGCAGAGGGGCCCTGCCCTGGCACGCACTGGGTTGGCCCCGGGCGGGAGGGCTGTCCCCTGCTCCCCCCACTCCCCCGTCCCCTCCATGGGCAGGGCCCGGCCAGGGTATAAATAGGTCAGGCGCTGGGCTCTCCGCACGCTTCCTGTCTCCCCGGCCTCCCTCCTCGGCGCTTCCTCTGTGTCTCGGCCTGGTGAGTCGTGTCTGCCTGGCACGCCTGGAGCGGCAGGCGGAGGCTCGGCGCACGAGCAGGGGAAGCCGGTGGGCGCCAGATGCGCCAAGTGGGTCCAGATGTGAGATTCCAGTGTGGAGGCCCTGGGGTGGGGCGTGTGCGTGTGCAAGCCCGTGCGTGTGCGTGTGCGTGTGCAAGCCCGTGCATGTGCGGGAGGGCAAGACGTAAGGAGAGGCAGGTGCGGGCGGCTCGACCCGAGCCCCCGTCCGGTCCGCTCCCGCCGCGTTCTGGCGAGCGTGAGCCCCGTCGGCGTGCGCGTTGGCTCGTGTTTGCTGGGTCGCACAAGCCTGTGTGTGCACACTCGGGTGCGGGAAGCAGAGCGAAGGCGGAGGCAGCCGTGGGCTTTCGTCTCGTCCAGTAGCGGCCCGTCGGCCTCTGCCCAGCTCCCGGCCGCCCAGCCCAGGGGAGCTGGCCGCCCCACCCTTGCCTGCACCCGTGCCTCTGCCACCTCACCCCGCCCCGCCCCACGCTAGGCCACGGGCTTTTTCCGCTGCGGGCTCCCTGGCGGGCCTCCAGCAGCAGCCTTGCCCAGCCATGGGTGGGGTGCGGGGGGAGAAGAATGGGCTGGGTGGGGCGTTGTGGACGGATGGATGGAGGGAGGCAACGGAGCTCAGAGCCTGAAGCATCCCTCTCCCCGCCAGGAGCTGAGCCCCACCTTTCTGGGCTCCCCCTGTGGTGGGGGCAGTGTCACCAAGGGCTCCCCAGAGGGATCGGGTTTGGTGGGGCCTTCTGAGCACAGAGCTGGGGTGGGGCGGGGAGGGTAAAGTCTCCCCTGTGACCCCCAGATCCCGACTGTCGCCATGGCATACCCGCTGGAAAAGGCTCTGGACGTGATGGTGTCCACCTTCCACAAGTACTCTGGCAAGGAGGGCGACAAGTTCAAGCTCAACAAGTCGGAGCTAAAGGACCTGTTGACCCGGGAGCTGCCCAGCTTCCTGGGGGTGAGTGGCTGCTGGCCCGGAGCATGCACTCCCGTGGGGCGGTCCCCATGGCGGGGGGCGGGCAGGGCCCTGGGAGGCAGCGGCCTTCCTGCGCAGCTGGCGTTTACCACCAACCGAGATGGGGAAGTCGGGACAGAGAGCTTGCTCCCCACTGCTGGGGTGGAGACTCAGCGAGCACCTGTCTCTCATGTCCTGGTGCCCAGCAGAAAGGGGGCTGAGCCTGAACAGGGAGGTTAGGGGCTGATGGGCCGGTGGCTTTGCATGACTTAGCCGAAGGGCCACTGCAGCTCAGAGAGGCCACCTAAGTGACTTCCCAGGGTCACGGCATGCAGAGCTGACACCTGCGGGCCGGGAAGGTCCACCTCTGGCCGTCACTGCAGCGGAGAACGGTTTTGCGTTTCTATGGGGCTCGTAGGCGTGAAGACAGTTACAGGGACACACGCCTATTTCCCCCAGACAACCACGGCTTCCCCGGTATCCAGCTTCATGCAGCTTACACGTTGCTTTCACGATCATTGTCTGATCGCGTTCTTAACACGACCTCAGATAAAGATGTGGCCCCCTTCCGGGGTGGGCACTCAGACTTCCTCTCCCTCGGGGACCCCTCCTCCAGCCCCAGCTTAGCTCCGCGGCCTGAGTCCCAAAGCCGGGCCCTCCAGGACTGGCTTTTCTGCAGGTGGAAGCCTGGGCTGGCCTGGGCTCCGGCCCCCCACTTCCAGTTTCTACCCGTGGCTGCTCCCCCTGCAGAAAAGGACGGACGAAGCCGCCTTCCAGAAGCTGATGAGCAACCTGGACAGCAACAGGGACAACGAGGTGGACTTCCAGGAGTACTGCATCTTCCTGTCCTGCATCGCCATGATGTGCAACGAGTTCTTCGAGGGTTTCCCCGACAAGCAGCCCCGGAAGAAGTGAGGGCCCCCCACGTGTGTGGTGGGGGGGCCGCCGGGGTCTTCCCCGTGGGCGGCGGGCACGGAGCCTCGCTCTGGCTCCTCCAGACGTGCACGATGCTGAGCAAGTCCAATAAAGATGTTTGGGCGTCTTGAGGCTGGTGGTCTGAGCCTTGGCGGCGTGGGGAGGAGGCTGGGGGAGGGGGTCAGGGCATGGGGTGGAGAGTGGCCGGCCGGCTGTGGAGAGAAGTCTCGTGAAGCGGGGGAGGGCTGTGGATGGCTGTGTGTGTGCGCGTGTGAGTGTGTGTGTGTGAGTGTGTGTGTGTGAGTGTGTGTGCGTGTGCGTGTGTGTGTGTGTGTGACAGGGCTGACTCTGATGGGACCGAAGGCAGTAAAAGGGGCCCCAGGGGCTTGGAAGCCCGGGCTGTGGGCTCTTAGCCAGCGCACTCCCTGCTGCCTCCGACTGAGGCTGGGTGGGATGGAAGGTCCCATCTGCTCCTGGTTGGGGCCTGGAAAGGAGTTCGGAGTGAGGGGGGTGAGGGGGTGAGGTGGGGGGAGGGGTGAGTTGGGGAGCAAGCAGTGAGGCAGCGTGGGATGTGCGGGACGGGGGCGGCGGGGGACGATCCTGACGGTCACAGCCCGGGCCCTGTCCCGCCCCTGCCTTCCACTGCTCTGGCCTCGAACCCCAGGGGTGGATGACCCCTCCCGTCCCTGGCCAGATCAGGGAGGCGATGTCGGGGAGACCAGCGGCCTGACTACACGGTCCTTCTCCACACTCCCACTCCCGTCTCCACCCCGAAGGCCCCAGGCCGAGATGTTATCAGACCGTGGTCCTGCAGAGGGGGTTGAGGACTTGGAGGGGACGAGACGGGGACCGTGGTTGCAGGGGGAGCAGGCGAGATGGCGGGGGATGGTGACCACAATTTTGGAGACAAAATTCCAGACATATGAGCCGATCAATAAACTTGAGATCCCTCCACCCACCCCGAAAATATCAGACCTGCTGCTGCTTCTCCTTAGGTTCGGGGGCCGAGGTCGGCTTCGGGGCCCACCTGGGTGGTGGGGACCTTTGAGGAAGAACTGAGTGGCGGGCGGGGCCAGAGGCAGGGAGGGTTTGGTCCCCTCGACCTTCCAAGCTCTCCCCTTTCTTTCTCATCGCATTGTGTTTTTCTCTCAAGCTTTGGTGGGGCGGGTGACTCAGACATTCCCTCCGCGGGTGACCACGGGGCCTTGGGTGGGATTCGGTCCAGGAAAAAGTTTGCCTCCTCCCCCGTCTCTCGCCCAAGTCCGCCCGCCCGTCATCCACGGGGATGCCCTCCCCTGAGCCTCCTGCATCACTCTGGCCTTCGGAAACTCCTGTTGCTAGGCGACCAGTCCCGGCTGCCCGTCCTGCGGGGAGGACCCAGGCCGACTCAGCGACTCGGCGGGGCTGCAGCAGCTGGAGGGGTGAAGCCCCCAAGTCCGTTCTGTTCTCAGACTCGGACCGGTTGGTGGTAGAACAATGTCTGAGTTTCTCCTGACCCCGACCCGACTCATACTGCACCTGGGACCTGCTCCCCGCAATCCGTAACCTCTCCCCCATGACCAGGCACTGCCCTTCGCCGACCCCCTCCCAACCCGAGTCTCATTCCTAGGGTCTCTGACAGTTCTTTCCCATGAAGATCAGCGAGGGTTAGAAGAAATCACTCATCTGAAAGCTCTTTAAAAACCTTAGCTGAAACTTACTGGATTTCTTTAACCAATGTCACCACAAAAAATAAAACAAACAATAAACCTTGGGCTCCATTCCAGCTAATGACCTTGACCATGCCCTTGGCAAGAAACGTCTTCCCCCATGGATTCTGTCTGGAGGTGCGTCGGCTTGGGGCCTGGGGGAGCGGCCGCGGGCCTGGGAGATACCCTGGGTTTGGCCCACACTTCTGGGGTCTCCTTTCTAGAACAGCCCAGCTTCTCCTCATCCACCCCGTTGACCCCTCAGATTGCGATTCTGGCTTTTGGTGGTGGACACAAAGCTTCTGGGCCAGAAGCTGCGTCTGCCATGGTGGGCTCAGGATGCCCCATCCCCTCCCTGTGCAAACGAGAGTGGCAGAGGGGACTTCTCCCCAGTCCTGTCTCAAGGGGCTCTGACCTCCGCATGTCCCTGGTCCCTTCTCATTGGCCCTGTCCCTCCCCTGGTTTCCTAGGGACTGGAGAGAGGGAATAAAGGCAGCCAGCCAGCAGGGGAGGGAGCCCGTCTCTGCGGCGTGGGTGCCTGGCTTGCTCCTTCCTCGGTGAGCCCTTCTTTCTTATGGCCCTGCTCATCTCTCTGGTGGGGCGAGCTGGATGACTAGGCCAGGGGGTGACGAGCTGTTGCGCCCTGCCCCAAGGAAGGCTCAGCCCGATGAGCGGGCACGTGCTTGGGGAAGAGAGGACAGGGCGTCCGAAACTGTCTGTCAGCGCTTCCTGAGAAGGGGGTTCTGGGGTGGGGTGGGGAAGGGAGCCAGCTGGTTGCTGCTGCGGGTGGGTGGCCGGGGGCCCTTGCTGAGTCTCCTGGAGGCGGGGGAAGCTGAGGTTTTGGGGAGTGGGAGGTGATGACAGGAGCCAGCTGGTCGCTGCTGTGGGCGCCCGGAGGCCCTCGCTGAGTCTCCTGGGGGCAGGGGAAGCTGAGGTTTTCGGGAGGTGGGAGGTGATGACAGGTCCAGCTCGGAGCTCGGGGGTGGGCTTCGGCTTTTTCCTGCTTGCCCGGGGCTCTGCATGGATCTACCTGCAGCCCTCAAGTTCCTGGGGCGTTGCTGCCTTCCTCCCCAAGGGGGAAGTGGTTTTCGTGTCTGAGTCACGGAGCTCCGGGCTGCCTCTCCTCCGGGGCGGGTGTGGTTGTGCTGGCAGACTGGACCCATTCACTACAATGCCTGGCTCCAGCTCTCAGAATGGCCCTGGAGATGTCCATAGGGCCACACCCCTTGCTGTCCCGTGGCCAGTCACGTGAGGCCTGGGGATGGAGGCCGGCTGGACAAGTCCAGTCACCTCTGCCCGTTTCCTATTAAGACCTTATCTCCCGGCTCCGGCCTCAGCCCCTGCCAACCTCTGGGCTCTCTGCTTGCCCTGTCCCCTACTTCCATAACGGGACACCCTCCGAATTCAGGAGAGTCGGGCAGCTGGGTTAGGGTGAGAGCCAGCGAGCTGGGCGGGACAGGGGGAAACCTGACCCCTCCTCTGCTCCAGCAGCTCTCCTTCTGGGGGAGCTGCTCGTCGCCCCTCCCTCGCCCCCCAGCATCCCCTGAGCAGGACCGTGCACGGCCTCCTTCAGGGGCTGGTCAGTTTCACTGCTCTGGCTGCTCCATGTGCACCTTGGGTCTCATCAGAACCTGTCCTGACTCCTTTGGGTCCACTCATTGGTGGGTTTCGATCTCGTCGTGAGTCCCAGTCTCTGGTCCTTGAGGTGGGGTTGGGGGGGGGGCCGGGAGCCGGGCCGGCGATGGGGTAGCAGAAGGTCTGGCTTCCCTGGGAGTGTGATCCGCCCCTTCCGCTCACTCCCAGGGTTGAACCTGTCATGGAGACGCCTCTTGAGAAGGCCCTGACCACGATGGTCACCACTTTCCACAAATACTCGGGGAGAGAGGGCAGCAAGCTGACCCTGAGCAGGAAGGAGCTGAAGGAACTGATCAAGAAGGAGCTGTGTCTTGGCGAGGTAGGTGACCGTGCCGCCTCTCCCCAGAGTCCGCGTGCTCCCTGCGGGCACCGTGGGGGGCAGGGGATAAAGGAGGAAGCACGGACAGCACTGTCGGGGTCCCCAGTGGAGGATGGAGTCCTGGCCCCGCCTCCCTAGAGACCCGGCATGAGACCTGCCCTCGGCATCCTCTATTCTCAGCCAGGGGCAAGATGGCCAAAGGGGACAGAGACCGAAGGCAGAGGGTGGACATCTTGGGCCAGCGCAGCTCCAGGCGCTGGGGGCGGGGCGGGCTCCCCGGGAAGCAGGAAGCCCACGTCAGGGTTTAGAGGGTGAAGTGGGGGGACACGTGACGTCGAGGCCAGGCCCGTGCAGCGGTGGCAGAGCCTGGGTGTGGCATCGTGGGGCGTGGTGGGCTCCAGGGGGCCCAGGTCTTGCGACACGCAGCTCGAGGCCGGGGGCCCCCACGCGCGGGGCTCCCCGCCGGGGCTGACAAGGGACCCAAAAGCGTCATTCTGCTGGTTCACGGACACAGCGAAGGAAGAAGCAGAGCTGATTCTCGCCAGGCGGAGGTGGCGGCGGGGAGGGCGCCTATGAGGCAGTGGTTATGTTATTTTTATAGTTAAGAAAAATCGAGGCTCAGATACATCATGTGACTTGTCTAAGGCCACCCAGCTAATGAGGAGCTGAGCTGGTGTAACCCACCCCACCTTCCCACTGCTTTTTCTTTTAAAATTCAGCTTTGGTGCCTCCCCAGAGACAAGCTCCCCCCCCACCCCTGAGTGTGCCCCTGTGGGCAGGGGACTGAAGCAGGTGTGGTGTCACCAGGCCAGCTCTGTGGCCTTCCTGCCAGCTTGTGTGCATCTCGGAGATAATGAGGGCAGAGGGAGGGGCCCCGGGGCCAGTACCGTTAATTACGGGGGGGACAGATGCTCTGGGGAGGGCCTGGCTATAACAGGAGCCCAGACTGGGGACACAGAATGCGTCACAGAGAGGCTGTTTCCATCTCCGTATGTCCCCACGTCCTGCCTCCTGTGGAAAAGCTGGAGCTGGGGGTGGCGAGGAGGGCGGGCAGGATGTCTGTATTGTCTTCCTGTCCCCCTCGGGGGCCCTGTCCCCATCCCCTTGGTAGAGCTGGGCTGGGAGTGCAGCGGACCAGACAGAGTGCAGTCACGCTCCAGGCACTCGTCACCACATGGCTGTCCTGCAGGCTCTCCAGCAGGGAAGGGAGGCGGTGGCTTCTCGGCTCCAACACACTGCTGTCATGGAGAGACCTGGGCCCACTCTCCACTGTCCCCGACAGGGGCAGAATAAGTCCGAGGCTTGGATCATGCTCAGTGCCCTGTGTCACCAAGCTGTTACTTTGGGTGCTGTATAAAATCTAGGTTATTTGTTTGGGTGGGGAACGGGGCTCGCCTCGCCTCCCTGCTATAATCTGTTTAGATTCAGGCCTCGGGCCACCGAGCCCCTGCTTGGTGCCAGGCCCTGCGCTGGGTGTGAGCTGAGGGAGACTGGGCAGCGGGAAGCTCGGCGCTGCTGACCTGGCCTGGGGTCACCCGGAGGCTGCCTTCCCAGGGGGATGGAGTGGTGCTGGGGCAGCGCCAGGCGGGGTGGCTGACCTGTCCCTCTCCCCGGGCCCCCCTAGAAGATGCAGGAGAGCAGCATCGACGACTTGATGAAGAGCCTGGACAAAAACAGCGACCAGGAGATCGACTTTAAGGAGTACTCGGTGTTCCTCACCACGCTGTGCATGGCCTACAACGACTTCTTCCTGGAGGAGCACAAGTGACACGCCGCCCCGCCCGGGCGGAGCCTCTGCAGCTCCCCTCACAGACCCTCTGCGCCCCGAGCCCTCCTCCCCCTCCCAAGGGGACCCTGCTTCCGCCTTCCCTCCAGGCAGAGGAAATAAAGAGTTTCTGGTCCAGGGGTCTGGAAGCTGGTTTTGAAGATGCTCCGTCTGCCTGGGCTGGGGGAAGGGGGGTGGGGGGCAAGGTGGAGCTGCTCCCCGTGGTGGTGGGGGAACATCCTCTGGGGGTTAGCGTCCTGCACTCCCACTGCTCTTCCTGTCCTTCACTGTGCAGTCACTGAGCTTATCCCGACCTAGTGTCGCCCTGCTGGGAAATGGGGAAGCGGGGCCCGGCGTTTGCGCCTCCTAAGAGCGCAGCCGCTGCCCCCACGCAGAGGAGGCTGAGCGGGAACGCGCTCTGAGCGCCCGCACAGCGGGGTGGCTGCGGCGTGGTCCCTGTGGGCAGTGGCGGACAAGCTGGGCCGGCTCGTCACCAGCTCACGGGAGGCCACGCTGGCAACCTTGGCTAGAGGGGCAAGGACGCGGCCCCCTCCCGGTGCCCCCTCCGCGGGCAGCAGGCCTTTCAGTGGGGCATTAATGACACATGGCGCTTCACCCGAGGATCCAGGATCCAGGATCCAGGCGGAAGCCAGGGGCGCGGAGGGAGGGGTGGGGATCGATTCTGGCTGGGGGCAGATGTTCTAGAAGCCCTTTAGGTCTCGTCCTGCAGAACACTGGTCGCTGGGCCTCCACCACTAGGGCTGAGCCCAAACACCCGTTGGGGGGCGCCCTACAAGCCCTCCCCCTACACAGCGCCCACTGCTCGGGCCCTCCGCCCCCGCCCCCGGA